CCATCATGGCCTTGGATTCTGAGAAAAATTCTGTCCTGCACATGATTATGGACAATTATCCTGAGCAATTTCTGGAATCCCTTCCAAAATGCTCTCACTACTTTTTGTGACACTGTTTTGCTCAGCTTCCCTAACTCACATTGAGATGTAACTCAGGAGTCAGTGCTGCTTCCAAAGGCATTTCAAGAATTCTCCTGGCATGCCACCATGTTACATGTTTAGTTTATGGAGAAATGAGTACATAAAGTTCATTAAAACACATTGAGTATTTTAGCACTATGCACACTGAACTCAATGAACTCCTTGGGAGATAAAACTAAGTTACTGATAAGACTGCACCCTATAAAAAATTGAACAAAACATCCACCATGACTTGCAGAGTGAGTGTGAGAGTTCTGAGTAACTTTAAAAAATCTCTGCTGAATCTCCCACTGGCAAGCTCAGACACCAGCACCCACCTGCTCCTGGCATCTGTGCAGGATGGACTTTGTAAGATTGCTACTTGAAGGCTTTTTCACATTAATATGTAGATTCCAAACAGCAAATTCAGCTGGGATTTTAAAGTAGAAGCAAAAGTGCAGATTTAATGGGAAGAAGCTCCTTCCAGTTCATGGAAACATACTCCTCCTCTTACAGGAGTAAATTCAGAGAGGGGAAAATCCCTATAAACCCCAAACCACAAGCCAGTCCTTTGCCAGCCTGCACAATCTCTCAGTTCTACAGTGCTTGGTGTTGTGAGGCATCCTACACATCAACAACCTTAAGGCTCTCCTAACTACTGCTTCAGGGCATGTAGAAGACCATTTAATCAGTCACCAGACACCTTTGTTTCAAGCAGAATTCTAAGATGCAAGAGTTTCTTCAAGAAACTTCTTCAGCCACTGCCTTAGCTGCACAGTGAAATGAGATCTTTTCAGAACACATCATTCCTTCCACAACAGCTCCTCAGCGGCCTGAGAATCTCAGCAGCCCCCACCCATCCTGGAGCCAGACACGGTTTCTCATGACCCCTTGTGGCAGCAGCACCAGCTGACAGGGCTTTTGTCTTCAAAAAGTAACTTAAGATGTGAAACAATGATATAGCAGAAAATCAAACACAAACCAAAAAGCACCAGCTTATAATCAATTAATCTGAAGAATAGCAACAATCTTCAACACAGGAATATTGCCCATAAAGACACAAAGCATAAAATTATAGAAGCATTATTTTAAAGTAATAAAGTCAGAAAACTGAAACAATCTAATGCAATTTGAAATGCATGTGAGCGATAGATGTACAACTATAATAATAATGCAAGTATTAATTATTAACACTTAACATATTATTACATATGTAAACATATTATTACATATTATAGCATAACTATTTCTTACCTCTTTTAACTGGAAAATTAGAATTTTCTTTGCACTTCCAGGAAATGCTTCAGGAAGAGACTGGTTGAGAAGGGAAAAACTTCATTGTCCAGAAACACAAGGACAAACTGACTCAATTAGGCTAATTTATTTTGATATTTATGTTGCATGCAACTGGATAAACAGCAAAATAGTGAATCTTACTTCCCATTTGTTTTCAAATTATGTTTTGAGAAAATGCCTTTTAACTATACCTGAAAAAAAGAAAATTGTGGTTCAATACTATTCTACTGCAAACATGTCAGTCCCAGAAGAATTAATAGATGGCTCACCTTGAAAAGGAATTCAGAGATAGCTCTAATTAAATAAATTAAATCCAACAAAATTATTTACTATATAGTCTTATTTTCACAAATATCCTCATCAAGGCAGACAAGAAGAATGTTTTCTCAGTCATTAACTCAGTAAACACACTTGTTTTTGATGGAAGGTATTTCACTTTCTCTCTATGCAACTTGGTGCCTGAAATCCTGACTCAGCCCCTCATACAGCTTCTGGAACAGTGTCAGTTTTTCCTGTCAGGGCAGAAACAACTGGCTTTGCCTTGACTTGGTTGGAGGTTAACAGAATAAAATACAAACAGATTTTATGTAGCCAGAGATGAGCACTGGAGGACAAAAAGAAAGTTTCTGGGAGGAATATTCAAGCAGAACTGTAACTCTTACTGAACAGTCATTAAAGGGTTCTCAAAAGCACTGGCTGTAGCATCCTCAAAGCAATAAAACCCTAAACCAGGAGTAACTCATATTTGTTCTTCAGATGTAAAAAATAATAATCTATATTTCGCTCATGTCATCTACACTGAGATTACTGCACCTTCTTGTGTGTCTTCCTTACTCTCACCCGTTACTGTGTTGGGAAACACAGTAGAGTTAGCAAAGACAGCCCTGCCAGCAGCAGGATCCACCCCAGGATCACACACAGCATCAGCACCCTATGAATCAGACAAAAAAATTCCTGACATTAAAAAAATGGGCATTTTCCCAAAGGGATACTCAGAAGCAACAGACAGCTTAAGTCTGCAAAGTTCCTGAAGGACTACTGTGACTCCAGAGAAACAAACCAGACATTTTAAGCCCTGCCTAACCTCTTGTCAAGCTGCAGACATTTACTCTGCTTGCAATTCAGAACTTTAATTTATACCCTGCTAGAGACCAAAACCCAGAATTTTGGCCCAAGATTTGCTGGCAGTTAACACAAACTACAATTTATTGAAGTTGTGAAGTGTGGATTGGCCACCCGAAGCACAGATGGAGTCAAGCCCTCCTCCAGTATCCTGGGTGTGCTTTGGCAAGACCCAAAGAGGCTGCTGGGAGCAGGGAGAGAAGGTACCACAGACACTGCAAATGACAATATCCAGTGGAAAAGTTAACCAAGCTAAACAGAGAAACAGCCATGGGCTACAAACCTGCAAATCCTGACCTCCATTTGCCTCCGCTCTGAGAAATGCTCGACAGGCTTCTCTTGGAAAATCAGGTTTTTGGTCATTTCTCCAACCAAATCGAGGCAAAGTCTCCACAGCACAACCGCAGCCCCTGCCGGTGGTGGTGTCACCACCAGGGGCCATGGACACCTCACCTGTGCTGCCCCTGGGGGCTCCACGCTGAACTTCATCCTCCTGCTGCAGGAAATATTCACCACATCTCACCTCACCTGCTACTCGGAGCTGCAAGGAAGAGTCTGGCTTCCTTTTTTTTTTTTTTTTGCTGTAAAGAACCCAAATAGACACTCAAATGGCCTTCAGGTGAAAACTAAAATAACCTTGGAGAATGACATTACCTCAGTGAAGTAAAGAACATCATTGTCTCAGAAAGCAGGTTTGGAAGCAGAGTGGCAGGAAGGTCATCCTTGTAAATTGTGGAACCCTGACACAAGAACTGATCTCTCCTGCTTTGAGAAAGGAGTTTCTCAAGATCAGCAAGCTTTCTTCTCATGTAAGCATCCTCTACTGGCAGGGATGCAATATACTTGTATCTTTGTGCAGTTACACAGTCTTAAACACAAATACTATTATTTGATGGATTCAAAACCACAATGTTTTGAAGCCCAGGACCCTTCTCTCCACCATCTCCACCAATTTTTTGATACGCTACCTACAGTGGTAAGGCCCTAGACTTAGCTGAAATTGCCAAACACACTCAGCTAGGAGAGAGTGCAAAGAAAAATGCACACCCTAATTTGTCTTCATTTATATGCTTTGGCATAAAGTACAAGCTGTGCTTTAGAAACTCAAATGCTCAAGAGCCTTTATGAGCAGGTCAGTCCTGCGGACTGCATTCCTTTGACTAAGATTGTCTTTCCTCTACAGATGAAACATGTACAAACCATGTCAATTTTATCCATTTTCATCAATTTCTTTTTCCTTCACAAGAAGCGTAATCTGACAAGATGTGGAATATGAGGTGCTGGATATTAGCTTAAATAGTTTCAGTATTTTTTTTTTATTCTGTGTGTAGAAAGGATTGTTAACACCAACAGTTCTTGTGCCTGCACCAACCTGAGCAGGAACTTGTCTGCTGCACAGGGCAATGTAGTAACACACAGACCACCTTGGAATGAGCCTGCCCTAGACACTGCTAATGGGATTTTTGTGTCAGTCATTGAAAACAAATGTCTCTAATGCTTTTACACTCCACTGATTTTACCCTGTAATTCCCACACTCAAATGTTATGAATACAAATCTTATTTGCAGCCATTGCTGCCTAAGAGAGATATGTAAATCACCCCATGAGCCTGCACCAGTCTGAGGGAGAGACTGAAGCTATCACTGCTTTGATTTCCAACAGCCTGCCCTCCATCAAGGCATATCTAAATTTCCAGTCATATTCTTAGCTGTTGGGTTTTTTAATTAATACAATTCCATAAAAAGTAGGTAATTATGATGGACAAGTACTTAGAAATGCTAACACAGATCTTGAACTTCTATGAAAGTGTTTGTAATTGTGATGAAGTAGCTTGTCCAAGAAGCATGGGAGATTCTGTCCTTCCAAGACAACCTAATCACAATGCACCAGCGTGCCAGAAAGCTGAAGAAGTCCCCAGAGAACTTTCAAAGACTTGATTCAGTTCTTTCATTAAGCACTAGGTTCAGTAGACCCAGATGCAATTTCAATTAGGGAAGGTAACAGTCAAACCATGTTCAATTTCCTCTATACTGAGCTTTTGAGATTCTAAGAGTTCACATGACATACCATGTGGTTTTAAATCCCATTGTGATTGGTATCTCTCAAAACAGAAAATCTTACTTTAAAACTTAAAAAATACTCTTTCCAGACCCATTACACATAAATAGCAAAGAACAGTGATTGTTGTGATAGACAATCTTATTACCACCTCCATCTCATTTGAGAATGACTTTTTGAGAAGTACTGGCAGTACTTACACTAAAAAACAATTTTAGACCTCATCTTTATAAGGAAGATCAGCTTGAAAATTACTTCTTACACAGCAAAGACTTTCACATTTACTTCACTATCAAGAAACAATTTCTGTCCTGTAATCCAAAGAAATTCAAACCAGAATGAAGAGCATTAACCAAACACCTTTTAGAATCCAGGTAAAAACAGAACAAGCCTGAAAATCCAGCCAAAGAGAAAGAATATTTATTCTTTCTATCTTAAAAGAGACTAAAACAAAGGACCAAGAATCTGAATACAGCTTCTTTAGTTCACTGATTCTGTTAAAAAAAAATGTAACAAACCATTTTAATGTTGCAGCTTTATTTAAAAGAAAGTGACTTTAGAATTTTTGGTAACATATTTTTTATACAAAATTGATACAACGAAAAATAAACTTCAGCAGTGTTCTAGAGCAATTACAGGCTGTAAACTCATAGTCAAATGTACTATATTGGAAAAGGTAATTTTGTTCAAAGCTTATTTGCAGACCAGCACCAAGTGATCCTGAAAGCCTAGTTTTACTTGACATGCCAAAAACCTCAAATTCACACTTCCTAAGTAAGGAGTTGTTCAATCTCACCTGTCTTCCAATTTACAGTAACAGTTGTGATTAACTCTGTGCAAGAAACACATCAAAACTTCCTACAATACCTTCAGTGAGTGAAGTTCAACTTTTGTACACCTTTGAAAGTTTATAAGGAGTCATGGACAACAAGGTATTTGCCATTTATGTGGAACTCAGAAGTCTATTAAGAAATTTCAAAGCCCTGTAACAGTTCTTTTTAAAGTATTTCATTTCAGCAGGTCAATTTCCTTGATCTTGGGATCACATTTTTTAAACCTACATTTGCAGTACATCAACATTCCAACATATCCACAAGCAGTAGGAACAGAATCCAGCATGGAAAGGGAAAAACCAAAACACGAGCTACACAATCCTGAAATCCTTTTACCATTCTTATCACATGCTCAGTAGAAAGCAAAACTCCTCCCAAAACTCTTTTATTTCTATTTTTATTTTATCTGAAATCAAGTTTCTCAAATAGAAAACCTGTTTTGGGAAGAAACTTTCTCATTATAAACCCAGTTCCTCAAACATCCCATTTTGGGGTAACTTGGCTTCATGCAATCCTTACAGGCACAGGGAAGATACTGCCCTCAAATATTAAAGCTGTAGAGATCTAATACTCAAACTGGGAAACAATAGTACTGCAATTCTTGTATTTGCTCTTCTCTGTCATGCAATCCCAACTGTAATTTGTAGAAGACAGCAGAGGTCTGTTTCCTCTCTCTGCTTCTCACTTCATGATTCCTGAACTCAATCTGATTTGTTTTATTATGGCTGTTCATGTAAATGTTCTAGGAACAGCATCAATGGAAAAGGATGCTAATCCAGTAATGCCAGAAAATCTGCAACTTAAAGTATTCTCTTGAGAAATTGAAAATTTCCTTATAAATTCCACTTCCTTTTCAGGCTCTTTGCCTTTTGCTTTCCTCTGTGAAACATCCACCAATCATCCCTTATCACTGATCTCCACCCTGTGATCCCAATGTAAACAAAACCCAGTAGAATAATCAAGTTTTGCCAGAGAACAAAAATAGCACCATAACATTACATCTTTGCTCCTTTCAGTAAGTTATAGCAGCATTTTGAGACCAAAGCCTCAGCATTCTAATGCTTAAAGCCTTGCTCCCAGGTCCTCTGCAATGCTTTGGATCCTGGTATTAAAACGAAGAGGTATTGAACATAGGATGTGCTCACAGGAACATGGATAGGAGTTTCTGTGAACTGTGTGTAACAGACCTGCTTTGTGCCTGGGGACATTTACTATGCAGATTTGGTTCCCTTGTGAGGCTGAGGAGTCACTGGCACTGAACAGTTTTGCCATAGCCACCTCTTCCAGCATCATAGTCTTGCCGATACTCATCTCGGACCTAACAGAGGAGGGAGAAAGGGAAGTCCAGAAAAGACAAGGAAAAACAATTTCTCAAAAACTGCTGCAGCATTAGAATACAGTCACACTGACATCACAACATCTAAGTGGCTACATGGAGGTGTCTGACCAAACAGAAGGTGAAGTGCATCATGCAGAAGCCCAGAACAGGATAAACCAACTTCTTCTTTCATCATGTCTGGGGACTCTCTAATCACCACAGCCCAAGCAAGGATGGCCAGCCTTGGCCTTTGGCAGTACAAGCCACTGCCACCTACTCCACTTGGGGCAAACCAACTGCAGTCCTGTGTGTTCCTAACAACCCCTTACATTTTCTGGGCTTACTTAAAAGCATTATTATCTCTCTAGGCATCCAAGAGCTGGTTCTGCAAGTACTTCTAGTGAAATGTAGGAAGGAGTTATTTATTCCTAGTGGATTATACTGCCATTGATCAGATGTCTTCCAGTTTTATCTTAAACAATGACTCCTAAGCTGCTATTTCTGAAATTTTTCTGTATTTATTCAAAATCAAGAAGTTTGGCAAAGTCACCATTCCCTTAAAACCCCAGGCTGTACAGCAACCTACCTGCCCTCCTGATCGTCCACGGCCATACTGCCTGCCCTCCTTAAACCCTGCATCCCAGTCTGTCCTTATGATCCTGTCATCCAGTCTGGTCCCGTTGATGTAGCGCATCGCATTTTCAGCATCTCCTCTGGCATAATACCTTAGGAATACGTTAATGAAAGAAACGGACTTCTATTTTCACCACGTGGGAAAATGAACACTGTCAAATGGGCTACAATACCAAGTCTTTGCCTGAACCACTTTTATGAAGCTATACCATCTAAAAAACCTGCTAGTGAAAGGGTGAAACATGCAATAATTCAAGCATTAAAAAGTTTGTCAATCATTTAACAGAACAAAGCTCTATTGCTAAAGAGTGGGAAGCCCCAGGCATGCTCTGTTCATGCTGCAAACTTTCACCAGTCTGGTGAGTTCACTGGAAGCAGTAACAGAATGATCCTCAGAAACGTGCACATAATGAAGTCATACGACAGGGATGAAAGATACCAACGGAAATTTACACGTGTGAAAAGAAAGATCTTTTTACTTCGGCACGGAGAATATGAATTTACTACAGAGGTCAACTACCTAACAGGCGTCTGGGTTAAAGTACCAAAGTGAAAGCAATCTGCTAACCCCACTCGACATGCAGTGTATGCTGGAATACAGAATCACGGTTGGAAAAGACCTCTAAGACTATCATGTCTAACCGTGAGCCCAGCATTGCTCTCTCTCGCCAGGGTCTCCCACAGCCGCTTTAGCAAATGATTAATTTTATCCTCGGAGGACTCCCCCGTAACTCAGAGCCTGCAGTGCAGAGCAGTTCACCCACACCCTGACGGCTCCTGCCGCGCTGCGCAAGGATACTCCACGAAGCAGAAGCCGCAGGCGGTTTTCTTCACTTTGTCCAGCCCCATGATGACCTTCTTAATGTCGCCGCTTTTACCGAAGAGCTCGTGGATCTGCTCCTCCGTGGTGTAGAAGGAGAGGTTCCCCACGTACAGTGTGCAGCTCTTCCTCAGCAGCCGCTCCTGGTCGTACCGCGTCCCCTGGGCCGCAAGGACACAGCGTTACCTCCCGGCACGGCCCGGCCGGACCGGACCACGCGGCCCCCGCCCCCGGCCGCGGCTCACCCGGAAATGCTGGTCCCGGTACTGGCTGAGTTCGGCGTAGGAGTCGCTGCGCAGAATGCTCAGCGTGCCGCCGGAGCTCATGGCGGCGCCGCCCGAGGCCAGGCCAGCCCAACCTCGCACGGCCCGGCCGTGCCCAGCACAGGACAGACCCACACCACCCGACCCGGCTCGGCCGCTCCTCCCCGCCTTCCCGCGCCCCGCGCACGCGCCCCGCGGCCGCCGGGCGCGCAGCCAATGGCGAGGCGGTGCGCGGCTCTCGTGAGCGCGGCGGGCGGGGCGTGCGGCACCTCTCGCGAGAACCGCGGCGCGCCCAGCGGGCGGGAGCGCTCAGGCGCGGGGTCTCGCGAGAGCGGCGGCCATGGCGCTGCTGCGGGCGCTGCTGCTGCTGCTCTCTAGCCCGCGGTTCGTGGAGCGGCTCTCGGAGTCGCGGCCCATCCGCGCCGCCGCCCGGGTCACCGCCAGCGCCCTCACCCGCGGCCAGCGCGACCTGGCCCCGCGCCTGCTTCGCCTGCGCGACGCCTTCCTCGCCGAGCTCAAGGACGGCGCCCGCGCGCGGGGGTGGCCGTGGCCGCGCGGGCCGGGCCGCGGCGGCCGCCCCGGGTCAGCGCCGTGATCGCCGCTTGTAGCGGGAGGCAGCTGCGGACATCGCCGGGGAGGAGACGGGAACCGCCGCCGCCGCCGCTTCCCTGCGCCGAGCGCACGGAGTGCACTGGAACCGGCGGGTGAAGGACCCCGGGAGCAGGTGACAGCGGGGCCCCGCAGCCGCTGTGGACACCGGCGGTGGCCGGGATGCGGGTGGCGAGCTGCGGACTGGACGGTGCGTTCCTCATCGCGTGGCCTGGAGCGACTCCTCGGGAAAGCATGAACACGGGAAGCTGCTCCGCATCGGTTTCATGGATTTCCATTTCAAAGACAGTATACGCGTCCCACGGTTCTCAGGAACAAGCAGACTCACTTCCTAATCATCCACAATGCTGTGAAGATTGCCACTTTAAGCGCTTGATAAGAAACTTGAAATAAAATCACAATTCTCACAGGAGTACCTGTAACAATGTCTGTGTATACAGGAGTAATACTCTATATTTGATACAGTTTTGTTACAAAAAGGGTTTTCAGTGATGATGATGGACAGGATAACAGACATCTTACAGGAATGTAAAAGAGATTCAGTAGCTATCCTAATGCACGCTTCAAGTCTATTGTAGTAAGAAGGGTTTACAGGGAAAAAAATGACCAATAGAGGCACCCTGCATATAAATGGAAATACAGCTATATAATGGAAAAGGATGCATCCATCATATATAATGCCTAGGGCAGGTTTGCTTAAGACACTGTATCTGATGACATCTATGACACTACAGCAGTTAACCTTCCTTCAGAGCATGTTTCACTGTGTGATCCAGCTGAGTAGAGGCTCAGTTAACTGGGGAGGGTAATTTCCACTCCTTTTATCATCCCAGGTGAGAAGAACCTTGTACTTTGTCCGAGATAGTTTTCTGCATTGCTGGTAAAGTTAAACCTCCAGCATGGATGGAGAAACTGCATCTACAGTGTAAATTCAAAGGTCTGGCTGGCAAGACAAAAGCAGTATATTGTTAATCTGAGCTGGTATTTGTAGTCCAGGTTGTGTTTCTGGCTCTCTGCAGGTTACCTGTGCAGTGGTAGAGAAGTCATCATCCCATGGGAATGGTGCTCCGTTGCATCCCCCAAGAGTTTCAAGATATACCCCACTCAGACTGCCAGAATTCATAAGTTTTATGAAAATAATGTTAAAGATTTAAGTTAAGAAAGCTGAAAATGGGAAGCAGGACATGGAATAACAGCTGTGGCACACAGTTGTGTCTTCCCAGTGTAAGAGCAAAAAGAAAATTAACTTGGAAAATACATTTTCTGTCACAATGCTTTCACAACTACGTACACTACTTTGTGAGTCACCAGTACAAAGACAGGCACCTTCTCTCTCCTGCCTCCCCCCAAACACACCCCTTTAATTTACAGGCAGGGCAGCAGTGAAGGATGTGGGATGAACATACAGGCAACACAAGAAAAAATGCTTTACAAGAGAGCGAGAGCTATGTTCCCTAAACATCTAGGTCATGCCTATAGCTTGGAAAATACAGGCAAATCATTCATACATTCATTTTTCCTAGATTCTCCTTAGAGCCTGGCATCAACCTATATTATTCTTGTCTCTGTTGAAAGCCTGGCTCTTAAGACCTTATGTAAGGTTGTGTGGGTGAAGAACTGCCAAAAGCATTACCACCTTTGGGAGTGGAAATAATTCAAGTGTCAGATTTGTTTCAGAGAGAGAGGCTTGATCTACAATGCATGTGCCAAGGCAGGATGTTTTGGATCCAGAAGTTCATGTAGGCAAAACCAAACACTGTAGATCATGCTGTGCTATTGAGCGTGTACATCATTGTCAGCTGAAGCCCAGTTGTTGGTGTCCAGTTTAAAAAGAGGCTGCTCTCCAGTGGAAAGCCAGGATAGGAGCTGTCCTTCCCACTGAGCTGATTTCATGGAGAGCAGTTAGTGCACGGGGAGGAGGCGCAGGGGATGCGGCTCCCCCCTCGAGGCTGCCCTCCCTCCACGGCGGCAGAACCGGGGATCTCTGCCCTGTGCTGAGCCCGTTCAGAGATGCATCTGGTGAATCAAATCCCTCCCAGTTACCGCTTTCTGTCTGCGCAGCTCCTCGATCCAGCTCCCGCAGGACCGGCCGCGCTCTGCCGGGGTGACAGTGGTGACAGAGCAGCGACAGCCGCGAGAGGAGCGGCGGGAGCGCGCTAGGGAAGGAGAGCCCGACCTGCAGCCGCGGAACACCGCGCACTGCGCTTAATGCCATGGCGCGGCTGCCCCCCCGAGCTGCCCGGGGCGGTTCACGAAGATGGAACTGTGGCAAGGAAGGCTAAACAGGCAAAGCTTGGATTTTAGGAATTAGCACAAGCACTTAGCCTGAAGCATCCTCCATGTTCTAAATCAGATTCAGCTAGATCAGGGCTGGGGATTTTTCAAGATGGACCCACCCAAGGCAGTGGTGACTGCAGTCTGGTCTAATGAATTTTTAAGAACATAAAATAAAAGATTACTGAGTCAGACCAGCTTTTGTCTAACCCTGTAACCTCTCTCCAGCAGCTGAATTAATGCCTATTATCAGTAAACACCCCACAGTCCCCAAACCCTGTCAGATTATTAGAGCTTTCAAAAATAAATCTCGCATGGAAACAGCTAAGCTTCAATCACAGTTTTGGTGGGCTCTGATTTCATCCTCTCTCATGAGAAGTACAAAAGTTCACATGAAATACCACAGGGCTGAGTAAGTCAAATTTTAAGCAGGTTCTATCCGGAACTGGCTACCCTAAGAGTGTGAGGAATGGGAATAAAGAGATGTAGGAGAGCTCCCAGTGCCATTGCTGATGCTGAAAGGGGGTGTATGAAAGAGAAAGGTCTCACAGCACCATCAGACAGTACCCAAATGAAGTAAAAGACTAAAACTTTGTTCTCCTAAAATCTAAAGGCTCTGATGATCTCTGTTTAGCTCAAGGATGTAAAGTCCTAACTGACTCCTCCAATTTCCACTGGATAGGACAGGTATTTGTGGTGGGTCTTCCATTGATAAGTGAGGAAATATCAAAGTCTCGTTCTTGAATGAGACATCACATTTTGTAATTGTGGCTCTGACAGTACCAGGGATTATAATAAAGATGTGACAGTTGCTGCAGGTGAAATTGCTTGCTCGCTGCTCTACTGTCTGGCAGAGGGTTTCTTCTCCAGCCCCAGCCATGTCAATGACTTCCACATGCACATCTGTCTTCTTGATATTGAGCAGAGACCTCGGAGGCATGTAGGTGTGTGCAAAGAGCAGAGTGTAGTGCTGCGGGTGGCTTGAGGATGCTGGAGAATGGATGAGCTGCTCCAAGTGAAACAAACAGGGAATGAGCCCTCCCTGGTGTAAGCACCCAAACAGAAGTGCCCCCAGAAGGTTGAACAGAACAACGAGGAGCTTCCATTTCACAGCTCTGCTTGGTGACGCGCTGAACAGGACCAAAGGCAGGATGAGAGGGATGAGAAACCGAGGTTCCTGGTGACTGAACAGGGAGAGAAATGCCAAAGGAACAAAATAAAACAGCAGCAAAATTGGACTGCCCTCAGAATGCACCAAGAGCCCAGGCAGCCCACGGCAACACCATCTGACCAGCATTAACTGATGTACATATTTCTTTAGCATTTTAAAGCCTGCGCCGATGGCCAGAATATGTAAGATACCAAACAGCATCACTCCATTGACTGTAAAATGTGTAACTCGTGGGTGACTTCCATGCAGTGCAAGATTATGAGGATTAAGATTATAGCTGAGAAAATTGAAGGGGGTTACTACCATTTTGTCATGTAATTGAACGATTACATCAATTAGGCTGCTCTTGTTAGTGCTGTAGAGGTTGTCTAAGCTCACGGAGGTAAAATAGAAGGTGTCAGCAGTTATGAAAACAAAAGCGGTAAAACATGCACATAGGATAAACTTCAAAAAGTCATTTATAAGAGTTTTAATGCTCTTTTGAGAGTCAACAATTAAACTGGCCCAGTATAGCAGAGGCATTAGAGCAAATGCCAGAAAGGTTGGCCTGTTGAAAAACCCAGCAGTTGTTATGACACCTAAGAGAGAGCTGCTTGTAGGCTCTGCTGAGCAGCCACTGGACTTCCTTGAAGAAACCAGTACCATGAGAAGAGCAAAGAGAAGTCCTTCGAGTGTGTTGGTAAATGTCCTTGTATAAAACACCAGCGTGACATAGGATCCAGCAAGAAGCACCAGCGCTTTCCATGGATCTGCTCCCCAGAAAGGAGCCAATCGATAAATGCTATAGTCGAGAATGAAAGAAAAGATTGTAAAGAGCAGGCGAGGAGATACAAGGAGAGTGTAGCTGTTGATGCAACTTGAACATATGTCCAACTGCTGCAAAGACTTGATCACCCAGTATGTAACTCCTGATGTCATTAATGGGAAAACAACTGTTCTGCAAGGAGAGTTGGAAAGGAACTCCCATGGATAATAGACCTGTAGATTTAAAATATCTCCTACAAAGGAAGAGAAAAATACATATAGATAATAAAAAATACGTATAGATAGTTTATTTTATTTAGTAATTCAGCATTAGGGATATTACTTGGTATAAGAGGTATCACAATACAGAGCAGCTCCTAAACTTTTGAAACTGGTGTCAGCCTTGATGTTTTTAGGAGCGTACCATTCATTTTTACAAAACATCGAGAAGCCTGTCACAGTAATGTGATTCGAAGCGCCACTCGCTGTGGCAAGCAGAGAGCAGGAACCCACCCACCGGGCCAGCTCTGCGGATCCTCTCCTGCCCGGCTTGCGGGACTCGCTCTGTGACACAGCGGGATCCCTCGACAATACCCGCCTGGCCGGCGATGCCCGTGGCCGCGCCGCTCCGCGTCCCCTCGAGCCCGCGGGGCCACCCGGTCCCGGGCGCATCCCTTACCTGCCATGACCTCGGGCGCCTGGAAGAACTCGTCGGGGTGCAGGTACCCGCTCTGCGGCAGGAGGCACCAGCCCGCCCGCAGCGCCGCCAGCAGCGCCCACAGCGCCCGCGCCACCATGGCGGCCCCGGCCCCTCACGCCGCACCGCCAGGGGGCGCGCGGCGCACGGACGAGGCGCCGCAGCGGGAGCCCGGCGCGCATGCGCAGCGCCCCCGCCCGCTGCAATTGCCGGGCTCCCGGGATCAATGAGGCTGGAAAAGGCCCCGGGAGCACCGAGCCCGGGCCACGGCCCAGCCCACCGTGAGAGCCACACCGCCGCACGGAGCGGCACGGCCGGTCCATCCTTCAATGCCTCCAGGGACGGTGACTCCACCACCTCCCGGGCAATCCATTCCAGTGTCTAATCACCCTTTCTGAGGGTGAATTCCTCCTGCTGTCCATCCTGAACTCCCCTGGCACAGTTTGAGAGTATGAGTTCTATGAGTGTGCTCTCTCGTCCTGTCACGGCCTGGGAGAACAGCCCGACCGCCACCAGGCTGTACCATCCTGTCAGGGAGCTGTAGAGTGGGATAAGGTCACCCTGGAGCCTCCTCCAGGCTAAACACCCAGAGCCCCCTCAGCTGCTCCTCACGGGACTTGGGCTCCAGACCCTTCTCGGGCACATCCCAGCACTTCAATGTCCTTCCTGAACCGAGGGGCCCAGAACGGGACACAGCACTCACGGTGTGGCCTCACCAGTGCCAAGTGCAGGGGACAATCACTGCCCTGATCCTGCTGGCCACACTGTTCCTGATGCAGGCCAGACAGGATGCCACTGGCCACCTGGGCACACCGCAGCTCCTGTTCAGCTGCTGTTTCATAAATAACGAAAAGCACAAGGAGAAGAAACACAGTGGGGCTGCAGCTGGGCACAGCTTGCCCGTAGCCATGGGTTTGAGTGCTGGGCACAGCATCACAGCTCCCTGCACACACACTCACCCCACCGGGCACAGCCGGGGCTGGGATCAGTCTGTGTCCCACTCCAACCCCAGGAACTGGGAGCAACGGAACAGTGGGCAGTGAAAGGGAAAGGCAAATGTTCATATTCCAGAAAAGCAGAAGTTTAGCTACCAGGCTGGTTAAAGTGTGATTAAAGTTTTCATGTTTATTTGCTATTTTCACTTATTTATGTGATTGCTATCTGGCTTTACCAGGTTTTTATTACACTACATGTCTGTTCATCCCAGAATCATGAGGGGGTCTCTAAAGTCAGGAGGCCAGTGCCTGCCAGCAGCACAGCAACATCTGTGAATAGTGCAGCTATGGATAAAAATAAAACCTGAATACTACAGCCAGTAGAAATGGCTACTCAGAAGTGAAGTACTTTGTTTCCCGTACAGCAAATACAAATTTCAGGCACAAGGCACTCAGGATTGCCCCCTGTGGAAGGAGGACAGTCATGAGGTTCTTGATGAAGGCTGCATCAAACTAAAGATCACAGGACATCTCTGGCCAGCCATGAGAGAACTGGGTGTGGAAAGTCAATAAGCTCAGTGGATGCTCACATTTGGCTTTGTTCTTTTATCTGTCAAAGGGTAATCCCCCTTCCAGTCTCTCTGGGCTTCTTTTTCATCCAGTGATTTTTGAAATTTCCTGTACTTTCTTCTGCTGGAAGGTAGAAGATTGTCCACGGCAGAAGCTGGACTGGTCTTTATTCACAGCCTGTCCATTCTCTGGGCACTTAACCTCTGTGGCAGCAGAGCTCAGGAGAAACAGAGTGGGATGGGTAAAGCAGGGATGTGGAGTCTGAGCATAGCCAGCCAGGAGGCGACTAGAGAGAGAATTCACTAGACAAGAGTTTTGATATTGCCTTCCAAGAAATTCTTCTATGGGTCAGAAACCCAGAATCCATCTAACAGTTCTTGGGAATCCTGGGTGGTTCAATATCAGCAACAACAGCAGAGATGCTCCAGTTTTAGACTGATCTTGTAAAGCATGTTGATACTGTATTGCTGGTTTCTGCCCCAAATTCCACCCCATCCACACAGACAGGGGCAGCTTCCAGCCCTACCCCACTCCCTGATGAGCAGATGCTGTTGGCACTTGCCCTGCAAAGAGGCAGGAAGAGGCATTCACATGGTAGCACAGCATGTTATCCAGACAGCAGCTTTTCTGAAGAGAAGGTGGCAGGGCAGAGGTGGCCTGGAAGTTCCCACTTGGACCATGCTAGTCCAGGCCTTGTATCTGACACAGAGCAAGCAGGGGAATGACAGTAGCCATGAGGGAGTACTGTGTTATCCTGTTACCTGCCCCAGAGCACTGGGGTGTTTGCATCCCTTCAAGGGACTCAATATATTCACTCCCCAGCCATTCTGTGTATGTTCTCCTCTCTTTCACTGGCACAATCTCAACAGTAGAATCCTTAAAAATCAAGTCTTTTCCTTGAAAAGCTGAAGAATCAAACATTTTGAATCCATTTCCATTGCTGCTATTTCCAAAGTAGACCTGAAAATAATGAAAAATTCTCAGCATTTTGCAAGATGAAGTGCCATGTTGCTGTCATGCAGCATGAAAGATGACAGGAACCGTTTTGTAGATTAAAAATTCATACACAATTGCAGAATCTCTCTTACGCGTTTGCTTTTAGACGCTCCAGTAGATCAGATACAGAATTCTGCCACTGGCAATTACATGAACAGCATTTGTGATTTTGTGTTTTTAGTTACTATCTGGAAAAGGAGCCGTAGTTTTTAAAAACTCTCTTGCCCTCAATATTGTTATGCAATACAGGGTTTGGCTGCCCAGGAGTTACAGACATGACTGAAGCCTAGCAGAGATATTGCTCAGTCTTGATTTTGAATTAATTAACTTCAGGATGGAGAAGAAGGAACCTCACTGTGGCAGCCAGGCACACTCTGCCTGGCTTACCATGGACATGGCTGCAGCATAAACAAACCCAGCAAAGTCCTACTGCATTCCAATGAAAATTCCAGAATGGAAAAGCATTAGTACAATGCAGAAACAGGGGACAGCCATGGGAAAACACCTTAAGCTCCAGGGAAATTATTACTGCAACCAGTGGCTGGGCAAAAGGTTGAAATCCCTTGAGTACCAGGGTGGTTTTACTGGGTGAGTCCCATGGGTTGTATTTCACCTTCTCTGTCACACTCCCAACAGGACTGTGCACATGCTGCCAGTGCCGTGAGGCAGGATATGGTAGTGTGGTCCTGTTGTCTTTATCCTTGGACTGTGTAAGACCATTTATAACTCCCCCCCAAAATAAAAGGATTATTAGTACCTGGGCTCTGTCCAGTAGTCCATATAGAGCAAAAACATTGACATCTGGGTGAACCATAACAGCCTGAGCTGGCACCTGAGCCAGGTGACAATTGGCAAACTGGGTGACTTCAGCACGGGCACCATTTGGACACAGTAACTGGAAATCACTGGACTTCAACTTTTGGGCCCAACTAGCAGTGTTTTTACCTGAAAAAAAGAAACAGATCATTGTCAAGCAATGAATGCTTTAAAGCAAGAAAAAATAATTGAATTATAATAAAGAGACATGTAAAACCAAGTACCATCTGTGTTCTCAAACACTGTAGAGTGCTTCACAAAGGCCACATCCCCAGAATCCTCTACCAGGCACCTAAGGAAATCAAAGATATAAATGCTTTCAATTCAAAGCATCTTTAGGTGAACCACATTTTTTAATAACTCATAGGTTCAGAATGCATTTTTTTACAGGCATTCCTGCAAGCAAATGTACTGGACCCAAAGTTAGTAAGAAAAAACAGAGAAATCTTGGATGGAGAGAAGAGCAAAAAAAATATTTAAAAATATTCTGAATTACAAATTTCAAGAGTGGAATAGAGTAGAAAAAATTATTAAAAACAGTGTGAAAAACAACAAGAAAGACCAATACTAAATGAGTAAAGAAACAGGAGATCTATTATGTGACATTCAGTGCAGCATTTGCAGCCCTGTACATTGGAGATCTCCAGTTAATCTAAATGCAATTTCCAAGGGTATTGCTCCAGAACAAAGTAAAGTTTCTTCTAATTTTCTGAAGCAGAAGTAGCCCAACATGCCAAGAGACCCTAAAACCACCTCCTTTCCTATGTAGTTTATTCTATAAGTGTTTTCAAGAAGCATTTCCTAAAACAAAGTAATGAAACCAATGAAATGGATGTAAAGCTGTAAAATACTGCATATTAGTTAGTTATGACTGTTATGACTGGTTAGGAAAGTTATGACTGGTAACAGTTACCCAAAATACATATATTTCAATTGCACCTAGTTTAACATCAACAGTTCTAATTAAAGGTGATAAGTCACGATGTGGCTGACACTGTCACACAGAGAACAAGGACTCAGTGGGGCTCTTCAGTACATTTCCCCATCAGAAAAAACTTTCCGAACAGATTTTTCAGTACTCTGTGCAGTTTGATTTGCCCCAGCCAGTGGTATACATACAAACTGAATGGCCTCTCACACCTCTATCAAATTAGTCTGAAGACAGCCAGAGTTGAAGGAATCTGGAAATCTGAATTTTAAGTTCATCTGAATCACCTTCCATAATTCTTTTTTTTTTCAGAGGGGATCACTTAAGTGGCACAGATAGATCTACCCCTACCTTGTAGAAGACTGCAGTCCTCTGTTTTTTCACCCAAATTCTACCATTTTAAATACTTAAAACTTCCCACATCTCTCAATGAATTAAGCACCTTTTCCCTTAAAAACAAAAAGTGATCTCCATATAAAGTTTGACTGTATGGGCTCTTTTATCAAATGCACAATCTTAGAATTATGAGCAAGGCTCATGCAGCCTATAACAGCATTTATTGCTCATCCATCTCCTGACTGGGAGCTGGCTCTTTAATCCATGAAGTACAGCAGAGGATCTGGAGTTTGCCTGCAAGGCTTGTACCCAGCAGAGCAGCTGGACTCAACTAAATAGATTTGCAAAAAGTAGTTATCCAAATCTAACACTTCATTATTTACCAGGCAGCTGCTGTTGAAGTCTCCTCCCTGAAGGGAAAAGGTGGCTTTCTGCCAGCTGTTCCATGCAGCATTACCTTCTGAGGTGAAGGTCAGGAAAAGGAAGTGCTCCTTCCATATCTAAGAGTTTCACAGTCTT